CATTCCACATCACTTCCACAGGCAGGGACACCTCCCACCGTCCCAGGCTGCTCCAAACCCCATCCAGCCTGGCCTTGGGCACTGCCAGGGATCCAGGGGCAGCCACAGCTGCTCAGGGCACCCCATGCCAGGGCCTGATTTTGGGAAACAGCTGTGAAAAGCCCCACAGTGCAGACACACCCAAGGTAGGGAAGGTGTGATTACAGAGAGGTCGGTTTGGTGAGAAGGGCATGGACAGCACCATGCAAAGGTCCCTGAGAGCAAAGGGGGTCAGCAGATGGGCTCAGAGCACATCACAGGCCACCACCCTGACCAACAACTGCTCAGCCAGCAAAGGCTGGGGAGCACAGCAAGGCCCTGCAGCTGTTCCTCTCCCTATTGCTTGGTATGAGCGAGGCGAGTGTGACACATCCCTGTTCAGACTGAGCACAGGAAAGGGACACCAACAGAACCACTGGGAACAGGACCCAGCAAAAGCCTGGGATGGAGCAGGAACTGGGGCTGGGTGACATGCCCAGTGTCTGAAACACAGACTTCACCCCAGGGCAGCAGTATCAAGGAAAGGTGCTCTGGCAGCTGGGTGCTCCTGCTGCATCTGCAGCTCTGCCCCTGTCCTCACACCTGCATTTCAGTGACAACCCACAGGCAGTACAGGAACAGGACTTGTGTTCAGCCACTGCACTGGGAATCTCAAGTGCAGTCAGATCCAGTGATAGCTCTGCAAGTAGATCTTCCTTTAGACTGGAAGTCACAGGTTACCACTGCAGCATTTGCTTGGTAAGCAAGCCACAGAGTCAGTCTGTGACTACACCAAACACATCTCCAAAGATGTTCTTTTTGGCAACAGGTGTGCTTCAACAGCTCGTATTTTACTCTCCCTTTAACCAAACCCTACAAATTCAAATCCAATCAGTTCCATTTTAATCAATCAAGATGCCCAGTTTACAAGACCTGACCATTCCACACCCCCTCTAACAGCAGTACCTTTGCTTTCTTCATGTAGCCCATGACATTGCCAAGATCTTCAACATCAACTACAGAATCTGTGCCTCCAGCTTCCTCCTCACTACTGGTTTCAAAGAATTCCTCTGCCTATGGGAGAGAGCAGAGAAAAAAACATTAAGCATTTATCTCACTGGTAAATATAAGACTAAGCTAACCAGTGCAATGAGCTTTCCTCATCAGTGAAGACCACTCAAGTAATAGCCTACCAAAACCTGTAGGACAGAAATAGAACCCTGAACCCCTTTAAACCCAAGTGCCTTGCTGATAGCAAGATTTATTCCTCCTGTTCTGCAGCAGCCAGCACTCCCAAACCCAGCCAGAAGAACCACTTACTTTCCTATAAAATTCAACCCAGCAATAACTTCCAACCCACAGTATATGGCTCGAGGGAGGATTAACGTGCCATAGCAGCTCTGGGTCTCGGACTGGAGAGCAATAGAAAGGATTTCTTAGTCCAAATCTGCAATCAATAAACACTCCAGAAAAGAGAAATGATTACAGGCAGACACACACAAAGAAGAAACAGGACTTGCTCAGGTAACACACTCCAGCTGCCTTTGGAAAACCCTGGGATGCAGGCAGAGCAGCTGAGCTTCACCAGGTTGAAGTGGAAGCAGGTTAGTGACTCATAGGGAACTGAAGGGTCCCCTTGGGCTTGGGACATGGCAAAGGCTCTGCTGAGAACCCAGCCTGGTTCCATGGAGCATATGTCCCAGCTCTCGGGGGTCTGGGGGTCGAGAT